ATGTTACATGATTTTGGCCTCCGATGGCCTATTTTCAAGCGTAAGTGTGAAAAAGTACATTTTTTGACTTAGTTTTCATATTTCCTTCTCTCTCTCTCTCTCTCTCTCTCTCTCTAACAATCAAATTCAAAATCTAAACACAAATTTAGTTTGTAATCACCTTTAACCATTACAACTTTCTTTCTATATTTCTATGATTTAGTTATCAAAATTTTTTAACAACAATGTGGCACTCCTATACTTTTCTTACTTTTTGACAAGGACATATAGATGAAATTAGCTACCCTAATAAGGAGGAAGTGATAAAACAGCATTAAGAAATGGAAGGTTGAAATGAAGTTTGATGGCTGAACAAAAGAAAACAAAATGGAATTTACCTCATGTCTTTTGACTTGGGAATAGAATGTACTAAATGCTCCGGAGAGTAAGGGAAGAAGAGGCAATATGAATTTCCAGAGAGATCCTTCTGTGGCTTTGCATATCTACAATCTACAAGAATAAAAGCAATATTGAAGGATGAAACTGTAGATTAGTTGTTTCGTGCAAAACAAGAGCAAAGAGCAAGACAGGAACAAACCCCGACAAAAGGTAGGTCCACTCTACAGTCATACAAGACTTGCACATCGTTCCGAGGAGCTTCAGACTTGTAGTAATGATCATCACTTTCACAACAAAACATATAGATCAATTAGAAGAACAAATACTTTTGTATGTTATTTAATAGTGACGGGATGCCAAACATATACAAGTTAACAGCACATAATGAAAGTCAATATTTGGAAAAAGGAGATCAAATCCATCGAGATAAACTATCAAAATGAAATAAACCATCCGAAAAACTAAAAAATTTGCAATAATACAAATGAAATCTCAAACAATATAAGATTAAAGGTGATACTGAAACAATTTCATCAGAATTTTTCATTTTATTTTTCTTACAGTGTAACAAATGCCAAAGAATCCTGTACACACAAAGTGATTATCAAATTTCCTCCTAGTCTCTTAATTCCCACCCCTCCCAACTCTTTGAAGGGAGTTGATGCAATGTTCCTCGCGATGAAAACATGAATTTTTTTTCTTTTCTCATATTGCATTTGTTTGTACAAGCTTCCAAGAGATTCTGTATCATTTTTGTAAGTTGTAAATTGAACAATAAACAACTTTGTATATTAGGATTTCAAAAAAATCGACAATGAAATAGCAATGTATACACTCACTGTTGGAAATTGGGTCGGGTTTAGAACCCAGACTCAATTGGGTCGCCCATGGTGGCATGACCCAATTAGGAGAGATCCAAATATCAATAATAGATTATATATATATATATATATATCAAGATATGGGATAATTGTCAATATAATATATGATAATTATTGATAAGATATTATAGATATGGGATAGATATTATCTGGGATAATATATCTATCTTATGGGTCTCCCAACTGTCATGACCCAAACTCGCCCCTATGGGTTTAGCACCGTAACCAGCCAGTAATCCGTGATTACCGAAGGCCTGCTTAATAGTAATAACAGTAATACAGAGTACAAGGGCTGGCGGAAGCCAAAACAGTAAATGAAAGATGTCC